ATTTTGTCCTTATTGGAAGAGTGTGAATCTATGGATCTAATTGACCGTATAGATATTGCTAAACTCCTTCAAAAGATTTATGTAAATGATACTAAGTCTTCTTCGTACCTGTCCTCGTTAAAGAAATAATCTGATTTCTTTCCTCTCCCAGTTCAAATTCTAGTCTAGCAGCATTATAAATTGGTGTGTGGAGAAATTGAAAAATTAAAAATCAATTCTAAAGGTGTCAGTAATCTTAGTAACAATGAAAAAAAGGCCCTGGATCAGTTAGCCAAAAATACATCCCTCGTAATTAAAGCATCTGACAAGGGGGGCAATATTGTCATAATGAACAATGACCAATATATTAGTATGTGTAATAAGATTATCCAGAACAGAAATTGCTATTGGCCCATTTCCTCGGAGATGATTAATAAACCTAATAGTCAATTTAATAGTCAATATTATGAACTAGTTGACACGGCTTCCTTCAATGGTACTATTACTAAAGTTACATGGGAGTTTATTAGAACCCCCCAAGGAAGGCCCATCATTTCAGGTAATGGAGCCCTAATGGAAAATTTGAGTCATTTAATTGACGAACATCTGCGACCCCATGTATAAAGCCTTCCTTCATACGTGAAGGACACGATACATCTATGAAAAAGTATTGACAATTTACATATATGGGAGGGGGCCCACCTTGTAATGATAGACGTAGAAGCATTATATAGCTTCATCCCAAATGATAGAGGGTTAGCAGCAATCCAACGTGTTAGCCCAGAGGAAGCATCAAGAATGGGCCTATAATGAGTTTATCCTTGCATCTTTGGAGTTTGTTCTCCTTCACAACATATTCACTTTCAATAGCTCCCACTACCTCCAGGTACAGGGGGTAGCGATGGGGACATGTTGTTCTATGCCAACCTGTACCTAGGGGAGTGGGAGTCGATGTTTATGGCTGATGAGGGACTATCAATGTATATGGACCACATTTGTATGTGGAGCCAAAAATATTGATGATATTTTACTGTGTGCGATGGATCTGAGGATCTATTATGTAAATGCCTGGAAAAGATGTATAGGAATGAATTCAATCTCATATTTGCTATGACCTCTGATCCCAAGGAGGTCGCATTTCTAGACATTAGCATTCAAGTGCAGAATGATGGAGCAGCCAGCAAACTATTTTGTAAATCCACAGCTGGCAACACCATTCTGCATGCCTCTAGTTCCAATAATAGGAAAAATTGTACCCCCGGTCTCTTAAATTACATTCAGAAGGGCCACACCTCTAAAAGATCAGAAAACACAGTGAATATAAAGGAGATTCCCAAAGAAACCCATGTCAACTCAAAGGTATCTTTATTTGCGGTGCTTGTAACCATTGTAAATATATGCACACTGAAGCAATACCTAGATTACCTAATGGTGACTTTTTTAAACCTAAACATTTTGCAAATTGTAAAACCTTGCTGATTCTTGACCTCTGCTCTTTTGACCCCTGTCTTCTGCCCTGCTGTCCTCAGTACTCTGCTAACTCCCTGTCCTCTGCCCTACTGACCCCTGCTCTTCACTCCTGTCCTCTCCCCTGCTGACCTTTCATTCTCTGCCCTGTTAACCCTCTGTACACTGCACTGCTGACCCACTGCACACTACCCTGCTGACACCCTGTCCTCTGCCCTGCTGTCCCTTGTAAACTCCCCAAGAAAACCATCAAATGCCACTGTCCCATCATTCCTCTCATCCATAAGATGCTGATGCACGCCCCTGCTTCTCACTTCCTCATCTGATGTGGGGTGGATCTGGCGCATTGGCAGCTAATGGGAGGTGAGAAGCAGGGGGCAGCAGCATTTCAAAGGAGGTGAGGAGTGGGGACAGCAGTGTCTTATGGAGGGGATGAGGAGTGGGAGGGGGACAGCGTGTGATGAGAGGTGAGGTGCAGGGAGACACAGAGGATATGTTGCTCCTTACCACCCATCAGATGCCACTGCCCCCCTCATTCCTCAATCCCTCTTCCCGTTCCCCATCTCCCAATCCCCAATTATATACTGCTGCCCCCCTGTTTCTCACCCCCATCAGATGATGCCACTGCCCCCTTGCTCCTCACTGCCCACCATACACTGCTGTCCCTTGGTTCTCACCTTCAATTAGACACCACTGCCGCAGCTTTGCCTCCTATCAGACACTGCTGCCCCCGACTTCTCACCCTCCCATCAGACACTGCTATCCCCCTGCCTCTCCCCTCCCATATGATGCCACTGTACCCCCACTCAGCACACCAATGATACACTGGTTCCCCCCTACTTCTCACTCCTCCATCAGATGCTGACCCCCCCTCCTCATTCCTCAACCCCCCACCAGTTGCTGTTGTAACCCCCAGTTACATACAACTGCCCTTTGGTTTCTCATCCCCCACCAAGCTAAGCACACCTTCCTGCTTGCATACCTGAACTAAGGGCAGATGGATTCCAGGAAGTAAATGCTACATGAATCATCTGCCCTTACTCAAGATGGTCATGACCAGAAATGCGACGGGGGTGTTTTTCAAAGTGATTTCTCAGTAAAATAAAACATGGAAAAACTGATGGATGGGTGAGTTTACTTTGAATATTAAAAAGTGAATTAAATAGCGTTCATTGTTTGTGATGCACAGATGCAGTGTAGTTCCACTTTAAGCTGGTGCCATGCCTGCTGTTCCAGATTTCCTTTTTCAAGGTGGCTCCTTTCTCTTGCAGCATCCAATGGAGACACGTGGGGATTGGAATTGTGTCTCCCTACACTGTGTGCATCAATAGAAACACAAAGCTCCATAGGCTAGGATGGAAAGGCTTGTTCTTCCACCAACTTTTCCAAGCTAACAGACCAAATCCAGACTGTGCAGTCTACTGGTAACACTTTCCTATGAAAACCCGAAGTTCAGGGAAGCAGCAGGAGCCATCAACCTTGAACGTTGTAAACTGGAAGTGATGTGGTATGAATTTTAACAAATATTTTTACTGGAGAATATTTATTTTAATATGCCTAAATTGTGCCCTTATAATTGAGATGTTAAAGGAGAATTCCAGCCAAAACCCTTTCTTTATATTTTTGGCACAGAATGGGGAAGTGTTAAAACTACTTCAAGGATTTTAATGCAGTTTATGCCATCATATGGGTGATTTTTCCTCACTTCCTGTCCCGATCGCACAACAGGAAGAAATTATGTCAACAGGGACTCATTCCCTATTCCATTGGAAATCCAATAACTGTCTCATCTGGAGCTCCTATTTAAGATTATATTACTAAAATTGTTTAAACATTTTTACTAATCAGTTGGTGACAAAAGTACTTCAGATAGGAAAATTTTAATCACTTGTCCTCCAGAGAATTTACCTCCCTTCCTGACCAGGCCATTTTTTGCTATACGGAGCTACATTACTTTAACTGATACTTTAATGTCCTTTTTTTCCCACAAATAGAGCTTATTTTGGTGGTATTTGATCACCTCTGCATTTTTTATTTTTTTGTGCTATAGACAAAAAAATACCAACAATTTTGAAATAAAAACAGTATTTTTAACTTTTTGCTATAAAACATATCCAGTAAAAAAAAATTTTAACCACTTCCCGACCGGCCGTTGTATATAAAATGGCCGGACGGTGGCACTGCAGGGTCGGGTGGCCGTCTATAAACGGCCTCCCCACACCCTGCTTGTGCGCGCTCCCTGGGAGCGCACAGCACCGCGATCCGGTGCCCGCTGTGTCCTCCGGACACAGTGAAACACCGATCGTCGGACGGGACCTCTGTACGAGGTCCCGATCATGTGATCACTGATTGGCCAATCAGTGATCACATGCAAAGTAGTAAGCAAGATGTCACTTCTGACATCATTGCTTACTATGTGTGAAATCTGTGAATGATCACAGAGGTCACATGGTACAAGGCTATTCACAAAAGCCTTGTACCATGTGACAAGCTGTGACCAATCACAGCTCACTCAGTTCTTCTCAATGAGTGCAAGAATGCACACAGAGAGAAAGAGAAATGATTGCTTTTACATCCTATATGGGTGTAAAAGCAATCAGTGTAAAAAAAAAAAAAAAAAAAAATCTTCATCACCCCTCACAAGTAGTACAGTGTCACCATGGTGACACTGTACTGCTAGGGTGACAGTATGTAAAAAAAAAAAAAAAATAATAATAATATAAAAAAATAAAATAAAAATGTAAAAAAAAATGTTTAAAAATGATAATTTTTGCTTATAAACTAATTTGGATTTTTTTTTTTTTACTAAAAAGATAACAGAATAAATTTTGGCTAAGATTTATGATGAAATATTATTTATTTGCAAAATTTTATAAAAAAAACACTTTTTTTCAAATTTTTTGGACATTTCATTTACATAGCAAAAAAAATACAAATCCCAGTGGTGAATAAATACCACCAAAATAAAGCTTTATCTATCTCAAAAAAATGGTAAAAAATTCATTTGGGTACAGTGTTGCATGACCGCGCAATTGTCATTCAAAGTGTGATAGCGCTAAAAGCTGAAAATTGCCCTGGTCAGGAAGGGGGTAAAAGTGTCCGGTCTGGAAGTGGTTAAAATCAAATTTCTTCATAAATTTAGGCCAAAATGTGTTCTGCTGCATGTCTTTACTTAAAAAATCCCAATACATGTAAACTAATTGGTTTATGTGAAAGTTATAGCATCTACAAATGGCGGTACATATACTGGAATTTTCATTTTTATTTTTTTTAATACAGCAATCAGTAACTTATAGCGGGACTGCGGCAGGCATTCTGACACTGGGTGGGAAATGACTAACTGCCACTGACATCCCAATGACACTAATACTGTACAGTGATCAGTGCTAATAAAAAGCACTGACACTGTACTAATGACACTGGGCAGGAAGGGGTTAACATCTGGGGCGGTCAAAGGGTTAACAGTGTGCTGTGTGCTGTTTTACATGATGTGCTGTGTGTATTTTACTAGGGAGACAAGCTGCTGTGTATTTCTCTGTGTGCAGAGAAATATACAGCAGCATGTCTTTGCTGGCAGTAGAGACACCTGTGTTTTACACACAGGTCTCTCCCCTGTCAGTTCTACACGGCGATCTCCAGGTGCCGGCTGGGAATCTCCGACCAGAACCCGGGGATTGACATCCCCAGCCACCAAAGGCGGTGGGGATAGGGCAGGATGCGCCCTACCCGGAAATGCAAATCACATACATATGCGTGATTTTGCGCAGCCTGACACCCTGTAGTAGTAGTTGTACTATAGAGCAGCAGGAAAGCGGTTAAGGCCTCAATCACACTGTTTCTGGGAAATCTCTTTTGATCAGTTTTAGAGGACATTATTAAACACATTTAAAAGCACATATCAATTTTTCAGTGTTGCCATTCACACCTGTGCTTAGGTGCAGTCAGTCTATCCACATTTTGAGAAACTGGAATTCTGTGCATCCAGAATCCGATCAGAAACTCTGAAAGTGGCTAATCCTGCTTTAAAGCAGAAACATCTAAATGTAGTAAAAAGGAATCTGGGAAGTAGAAAAGTTGTATACAACTCCCAATTCACATCCCCTGCATTTAGAAAAGCTAAACATGGGGGAGTCAGTGTGAATGAGGGCTAAAGGTCCTAATTGTTCACTGATCAGCTTGATAAGGTGACATAAAGGTGGGAATGAGTCAGTCTGTACCTGTACAAGGGCCTATTATATTCACTATATCTGCATAGTAAATGTTTGCGCTTGGGAAGTAGGTAAATGGTACCCAGGGAGGCTTTGGTGTAATATGTCCTCTACTGGAATAGGGTTATTTACAGGAGAATAGGACAACTAGCACAACAGTCCATGGCACCTTATCCCGGGGTCTGGGGGGTAAAAGGTTTACTACAAGCTTTACTGTGAGGCCTGGCATACACTAATAATCTGCTCTGTAAAATCACCAATTGGTCTTAAATAAAAAAGTGGAAAAAAGGAAATATATTCATCAAATGAATCAATCACACAATTAATTACATTGGCAGTCACATATGACGAGAATGAAAAATAGATACTTACTGAGAAATGGGTCCAAACACTTTGGAATAAACTCTGGACAGCCGCTCTCAGCATCTTCTATATATGAGCATCTGAAAAACTCAAAGTTTCAGAAATGAGTCAAAAAGATTTCTGGGAAAGTGAGATAGCTTCCAAAAGGGAATTCCCTTCAGAACTCTCCAAAAACTATAAAAGTTTCCAAAACAATCTGTGTATCTGCAAGGCGGAGGCGGGCCTTTGAGTCATGTGACTGCTGTGATTGGCTGTCATAGCGGTCACATGATCAGAAAGCTCCCGATTGCAAGTATGTGATATATAGCTTATAAAGCTTTAAATCAACTATTCAATTTAGCCCAGTGATTATATGTTTCACATCTCCATGGACTCAGCAGAAAAATCATTTGTCATTTTTGGCACTTTTTTTTTTTTTTAAAGCAGGGTCCCTCATCCTAGTGCATTAGCTTTGTGCATTTAACCGCTCAGGACAATACACTGGAATAAAGAACCCTTATTTGAAAGTCAAAACAGCACTGGAATATATTAGGCTGAATTAAACGGGAAGCTCAGTTGGGAGAGAGAGAGAGAGAGAGAGAGAGAGAGAGAGAGAGAGAGAGAGAGAGAGAGAGAGAGAGAGAGAGAAAGTATGGAAAAATTCTTACTTATTTGTAAGGCTAAGATCAGGTTTGTAAATAGTGTTGAAGTAGTGTGCTCTCCAAACCGAAGTCAAAATGAAATGGGTCTTTGGTTCTCTGCCCCTTGGAACATCTGCCCCACGCTATAACCCGGTCACAGTGGTCACAGTGGTCACAGTGGGACTTTGTTTTTATAAATTGAAAGCTTTATTGAACAAAACAAGATGACAATATATGAATACATTATTTGTATAATATTGACTGTAGCATTTGTTTAGCTCATTACATGAAAGTAAGGATAATAATAAAATTTAGATTACAAAATCTTCAGTTTTACTCAAATTAGTTGATGCAAAAATGAATACACCCAACAACAAAAACTACTATATCTAGCTTTTTATGACCTCCATGACGTGTAAGGACAGCCCCAAGTCTTTTAGGCATGGAATGAACAAGTTGGCAACATATTGCAACATCTTTTTTCCATTCTTCAGGAATGACCTCTATTAGAGCCTGGATGGTGGATGGAGAGTGATGCTCAGCTTGTCTCATCAGAATTCCCCATAGGTGTTCGATTGGATTCAGATCAGGAGACATACTTGGCCACTGAATCACTTTCACCCTGTTCTTCTTCAGAAATTAAACAGTGGCCTTAGATGTGCATTTTGGATCATTGTCATGTTGGAAAAGTGCACGACGACCAAGGGCACGGAGTGATGGTAGCATCTGCTCTTTCAATATAGAGCAGTACATCTGTGAATTCATGATAACATCAATGAAATGCAGCTCCCTGACACCAGCAGCACTCGTGCAGCCCCACAGAAAGACTCTGCCACCACCATGTTTCACTGTAGGCACCATTCATTTTTCTTTGTGCTCCTCACCTTTGTGACACCATACAGTTTTGAAGCCATCAGTTCCAACAACATTTAGTATATCTGTGAATACATGATATCATCAATGAAATGCAGCTCCCCGACACCAGCAGCACTCATGCAACCCCACAGAAGCCTGCTTCTGTTGGACAGGCTGGTGTACACAAGGGCCAAATGTTGTCCGGTTTTTGTTGAACTGTGTTACTTTTTATCTCTCCATCCCTTGTCTGAACAGTGTTTAGAAGCACTGTGTCAGATGCTCCATGTTTATTACACCAGCAGCTTCTTCACCTGCTGTATTTTATACAGAAACCCCTGGCTTAAATTTATGAGACCTGAGAGTGCAAGGGTAGAGCGGTAGCACAGGGTGTACTTCACTTGCCCCGTGTACTTTGATTACTTTTTTTTGGGTGTAGTGTATCCAGTGTCCTCACTGATTAACCACTCCCCTACCTCCCTATAGCAGAACTACTGCTACAGGGCGGCAGGACTGTGCAAAATCACAGCAGAGAAATACACAGTATCATGTTTACATAGTAAAACACACACAGCACATACAATAAAAATAAAACATAGTTAACCCTTTGATCACCCCAGATGTGAACCCCTTCCTGCCAGTGTCATTAGTACAGTTTCAGTGCTTTTTATTAGCACTGATCACTGTATTAGTGTCATTGGCATGTCAGTGGCAGTTAGTCAGTTCCCCCCAGTATCAGAATGCCCGCCTCAGTCCTGCAGTCCCACTATAAGTCGCTGATCACCACCATTACTAGTATGAAAATAATTTTTTTGAAATTCCAGTATACATACCGCCATTTGTAGATGCTATAACATTCACATAAACCAATTAATTTCCATGTATGGGGATTTTTTTTTTTTAGCAAAGACATGTACCAGAATATATTTTGGCCTAAATTTATGATGAAATTTGATTTTTTAAATTCTTTTACTGGATATGTTTTATAGCAAAAAGTAAGAAATTTTTTTCAAAGTCTGTATTTTTTTGTTTATAGCCCAAAAAATAAAAAACGCAGAGGCAATCACATACCACCAAAAGAAAGCTCTATTTGTGGGGAAAAGAAGGACATAAATTTAATTTGGGCGCAGCGTTGCATGACCACGCAATTGTAGGTTAAAATAATGCAGCGCTGTATCACAAAAAATGGCCTGGTCAGGAAGGGGGGGAAATCCTCTGGAGGGCAAGTAGTTAATGTTCCCTGTATGAACTCTGAAATGCTGTCACAATATACCAGTGGTCACTAAATGGTAGACCGCGGTTCGGAACGTGGTCTGGACAGGACTGCCCCTTGGTGAACGGTAAGGAGCTGCAAAACGGGACCGAGGGGCAGGAGCCAGCGACCACCCATGCCAGTAAACATGCAAAGACCTCCCTTCTCTGCAGCTGGAGATAGAAAGCAGGAGCCCCCCGCACACACACCAGCAAGCCAGGAAATCGCCCACCTGCCAACACAACAACCTAGGCAGCTCCTGCCCCCCCCCCACGAGGACGACACCGGTGGCGGGCCCAGGAGAGGACAACCCAGAAGGATTAGTGTCTCTGCCCTGCTTAAGGTACCAGGGGAAGGCTTGCATTAAAAGGGGCTTTGTGTTGTATTAAAGGGCACTGTGTTGTTAGGGGCGCTGTGTTGTGTTAGGTGTGTTGTGTGTTTTAGGGGTGCTTTGTTATGCTAGGGGCGCTGTGTTGTGTTAGGGGTGCTGTGTTAGGGGTGCTATGTGTTTTAGGGCTACTGTGTTATGTTAGGGGTGCTGTGTTGTGCTAGGGGCGCTGTGTTGTGTTAGGGGTGCTGTGTTAGGGGTGCTATGTGTTTTAGGGGCTACTGTGTTATGTTAGGGGGGTGTGCTGTGTTGTGTTAGGGGTGCTATGTGTTTTAGGGCTACTGTGTTATGTTAGGGGTGCTGTGTTGTGTTAGGGGTGCTATGTGTTTTAGGGCTACTGTGTTATGTTAGGGGTGCTGTTAAGTGTGTGTGTGTTTTAGGGGGCTGGGCTATGTTAGGGGTGCTGTGTTGTGTTAGGGACGCTGTTGTTTTAGGGGCGCTGTGTTGTGTTAGGGGTGCTGTGTTGTGTTAGGGGTGCTGTTGTGTTAGGGGCGCTGTGTTGTATTAGGAGGCGCTGTGTTGTGTTAAAGGGCGCTGTGTTGTTAGGGGTGCTGTGTGTTTTAGGGGCGCTGTGTTGTGTTAAGGGACGCTGTGTTGTGTTAGGGGAGCTGTGTTATGTTAGGGGCGCTGTGTTGTGTTAAAGGGCACTATGTTGTTAGGGGTGCTGTGTGTTTTAGGGGTGCTGTGTTGTGTTAGGGGCGCTGTGTTGTGTTAAGGGGCACTATGTTGTGTTAGGGGCGCTGTGTTGTGTTAAGGGGCACTGTTATGTTAAGACGCACTGTATTGTGTTAGGGGTGCTGTGTTGTGTTAGGGGCATTGTGTTTTGTTAAGGGGTGCTGTGTTGTGTTAGGAGACGCTGTGTTGTGTTAGGGGCGCTGTGTTGTGTTAGGGGTGCTGTGTGTTAAGGGGTGCTGTGTGTTTTAGGGGTGCTGTGTTATGTTAAGGGTGCTGTGTTGTGTTAGGGACGCTGTGTGTTAAGGGGTGCTGTGTTATGTTAAGGGTCACTGTGGTGTTGTGTTAAGGGCACTGTGTTATGTTAGGAGACGCTGTGTTTTGTTAAGGGGCACTGTGATGTAAAGGGGGGCAGTGATGTGAAGGGGAACTGAGGACGCTGTGGGACTTCTTTAAAGAGGGGACTGTGCTGTAGAAGGGACTACAGTGTGAAAGGTATGCTAAAGATCATAATGTAACGGGGGACTGTGATGTGTTATATCGCCAACGAGATTCTGACCTCTGCTGGAAGGAATTTTGCTGGCCGGACCTCTGTAAATTTGTATTCAAGACCTCTGCAATATACTATACGCGAATGAATATTAAATCTGTGTCTTATTCTTTAGTACCATCTACTGGAAAGATTGGGGTAATACACCATATATGGAAAGTCTAGCATGAACCGTTTCAACAGGCACATCATTGCAGAGACACATCTCTTCTGGCCCAATGGCCTACCATTTACTGTGCTGGAAGACATATGTACTGAGTGGATGCTAAACACCATGTTACTGAGAGAGCCAATCTGGACGGATCTTATCGCAGAGCTGTGATCAGCCAAGGTAAGCTGAATTTACAAAACGTTAATCAGCCTCACGTAGGAAAGACAGGTCTGTGATGCCCGCAGCAGTTGTTCTGAATTAGTTGTTTTAAAGGTAAGGGTTTACATATACTTTAAGAAAAACAGTATTTTTGTTTGCACATGATTGGATGATGGAAGTCAGCAAACTAACTTGAGATGTAGTCATCTCAACATGTTTTGCCTGAAATTTGGCTTCATCGGGAGATATAATGCAGCAATAAACCTGCTGTATCAGAATATGAGCACAACACTTAGTGTTTTTCACAGTTTTTATAAATTTAAATATGATAATATGAAGTTTGATGAAGGGCATCTCACCAACAAAAGTTGTATCAAACGTAATCAAACATGATCAAAGTTAAGAGACTGCAGAGATTCCAAAGGACAGGCCTATCACACAGGTGCCACACTTGAGCCCCAGGGTGGTGTGTGGTAAGCCACAGGAGTGGTACCAGGTATTAAGAAATACTGAAAAATATCAGAGCATAATATAAATAAAGAGTCTAAACAGAACAGAGGCTCAATATCAATGGGAGTGCCTCAAACATGAATACTGCTAATAGTACCCTGAATGGCTACTTGAATGATAAGCCTCATGTTGATGTGACTACATCAAGCAACCTACATTGGACAAATGTATCACACCGTATATTGAAAATTGTATGTGTAATGTATGAGATTGCATGTTCTTACATGCTTTTTGAATTGTCACTGTCAAATCTTTATGATTTTATTGAATATATCAATAAAAATAGTTAATTTTAATATGGTTTAGCAAATGCACTCTTTTGGCACTTTTAAAAACCCCATTGGCCAGCTTCTGTGGGGCTGCATGAATGCTGCTGGTGTCGGCAGCAAAGCATGAACCAATTTGCTCCTGCAGGGGAAAAAATTCCTTTCTGATCCCCCGAGAGGCAATCGGATATTCCCTGGATCAACTTTACCTATACATGTTAGTATCCGGTTATATTCTGTGTATCTAAGAAAGAATCCAGGACTTTTGTAAAGCAGTCCACTGAGCTGGCCAGAACCAACTCTTGAGGGAGTCTATTCCACATTTTCACAGCTCTCACTGTGAAGAAACCTTTCCATGTTTGAAGATTACATTTCTTTTTCTCCAGACGTAAAGAGTGCCCCCTTGTCCTCTGTGATGACCTCAGGGTGAATAGCTCTACACCGAGTTCACTATATGAACCACTGATGTATTTATACATGTTGATCATATCCCCCCTTAATCTCCTCTTCTCGAGAGAATACATTCAGTTTCTCTAATCTTTCCTCATAGCTGAGCTCCTGCATGCCTCTTATCTGGTTGGTTGCCCTTCTCTGCACTTTCTCCAGTTCCCCAATGAAGAATGGATAAAGATAGATGTTGCAATATGTTGCCAACTTGTTCATTCCATGCCTTGAAGACTTGGTGCTGTCCTTACAAATCATGGAGGTCATACAAGGCTAGATATAGTAGTTTTTGTTGTGGGGTGTATTAATTTTTGCATCAACTAATTTGAGTAAAACTGAAGATTTTGTAATCTAAGTTATATTATTAACTTTACACGTAATGAGCTAAACAGGTTCTATAAAACTGTTTTGTCAAAATTTTGGACATTGTCCTTGTGTTCATTGAGATATTGATTAAAATCTTACTTTTCAAAATTGGTGTACACATTTATGCTGAGCACTGCATTTGTTTATTTGTTGTTTATTTCTTATTTATTAACTCAGTACAGGTTAACCTTTTATATTGAGTTGGAATTTAGCAGGAATTTTGTAAAATTTGCTGTGTTTGTATCTGCTAATAATGATTTTAGTGTATTTTGAGCGAAAACATTGTTTTGATAAACATTTGTGCAAATATTGCGGGGTCTTTAAATTCAGTAGCAACTTCTGCTGTTTTTTTTTCAAATAAGGGTTCTTTATTCCAGTGTATTGTCCTGAGAGGTTAAATGCACAAAGCTAATGCACTAGGATGAGGGACCCTGATTTTAAAAAAACAAAAGTGACAAAAATAACAAATGATTTTTTTGCTGAGTCCATGGAGTTGAGTCATACAATCACCAGTCTAAATCTAAGAATTGATCTGAAGCTTTATAAGCTATATATCACATACTTGAAATCGGGAGCTTTCTGATCATGTGACCGCTATGACAGCCAATCACAGCAGTCACATTTCTCGAAGGCCTGCTTCCGCCTTGCAGATACACAGATTGTTTTGGAAACTTTTATAGTTTTCAGAGAGTTCTGAAGGCAATTCCTTTTTGGAAGCTATCTCACTTTCCCAGAAATCTTTTTGGCTCATTTCTGAAACGTTTTGTTATCAGATACGCATATATAGAAGATGATGAGAGCGGCTGTCCAGAGTTTATTTCAAAGTGTTTGGACCCATTTCTCAGTAAGTATCTATTTTTCATTCTCATCATATGTGACTGCCAATGTATTTAATTGTGTGATTAATTCATTTGATGAATAGATTTCCTTTTTTCCACTCCCCATATTATTTAAGACCTATTGGTGATTTTACAGAGCAGATTATTAGTGTATGCCAGGCCTCACAGTAAAGCTTGTAGTAA